TATTTTTTTAATAGATTATAACGGCACGTCTCAGCATAACAAAAAAAAAATAATCTGCTCGAGTGAATTACGTGCACATAGCGAGGCTTACGAGATCTTTACATTAGTTGTATCTTGCATCGGATATTAAGCACATGCCACCTCTCTTTCCACTAAGAATTTAAGGAGAGGGCAGCTCACACACACACACACACACACACACACACACACACACACACACACACACACACAGACGCGCAAGCACATACCCACCCACCCACCCACACACGCACACACAGAGACGCACAGACGCACAAGGGCAGGTATTCATTGAACGTACCTTTTCGTTTGCACTCATGTAGTCGCGGTCCTCGGACTCGGGAACCAGCCATGGTTTTGTTCTCCACTGTTCACAAGCAGCAGGAAGGAACAATGGGTGAGCGCAAACGCAGTCGTCAAAGGCGGCTAACGCGGCTTGCTTCCAGGAGCTCTTCACACAGCCATCACGCTCGCAATGGTAGCTTGACAGCAAGCGCATGTCTGCCTTTCACACACTCACATGCCAAGTAATGCCGAATCGCTGCAAGTAGGACCACGACTCTGTGAAGGCTTCTGCGAAACGCAAACGCAAACCGTCCACCAAGCGCACAAAGTTATGTATGTATGCGCGTGTGTGCGTGTGTGTGTGCATGTGTGTGCGTGTGCGCGTGTGCGTGTGTGTGTATGTGTATGTGTGTGTGTGTGTGTGCGTGTGCGTGTGCGTGTGCGTGTGCGCGTGTGTGTGTATGTGTGCGTGTGCGTGTGCGTGTGTGTGTATGTGTATGTGTGTGTGTGTGTGTGTGTGTGCGTGTGCGTTGTCAGGAAAGTTGTTCATGTTCGCAGCGCGTTGCAACCCCCCTCCCCACACCACATCCACACAAGCACATGTGCACCACATGTGTGACTCGGAACGTTCCCAGCGTGCGTGAGGAGGCACGCGACCAGCAGCGACGTACTTGTCTTCATGAGCGTGTCCAAGATACTCTGCTTCTGTCTCAACCGCTTGGCATTGTCGTATATCGCTGGCCCAAGCCGTGGGCGCCGCTCCACACGCGGCCGCTTCGACATGGCTGCCGTGCGTGTGTGTTGTTGGTGTGTGAAGTGAGCACGGACCGCGTTGTGCCGAAAATAGAAAGAAAACGTTCACAAATCATCCACAACCGCATCAAACGTCCGCTGGCTGGTTCTTGCTTGACTTCTCTCGCACGTCATCGCTGCTCTCGCTCGCTGTCATCCATCGCCATGGGTGACTTCCCGGCACCGCCAGTCTTCTACCAACAGTACACAGATGAAGGTGCGTGGGTTGAGGGCTTGAAGGCTGCGCAGTGGCTCGTGTGTATGCGTGCAATTTCCAGTTTCGGTGGCAATCCTTCTTCGTGTTTGTATGAACGTCAAGCGGTGAACGTTACCGCGACCTTGGCTGCGACACTGACATGACACTTCGATGCTTGCGTGGTTGGCATTGTCTGATGTGCGCGCGATGATGTTCGCGTGTCCGCACCCGATGGTGGGGTTGTAGCCGTTGAAAATGGCACGGCGCCCGCGCCGCCTGCACCTCCCGGGCCACAGTTCCTTCTCTACGGCCAACCCGTGAATGTAATGGAGCGTGCGATGGTTGAAAAGTGTCACCTGTGTCGCCTGTGTGTGTGTGTGTGTGTGTGTGTGTGTGTGTGTGTGTGTGTGTGTGTGTGTGTGTGTGTGTGTTTGTATGCGCGTGCAGTGTGCGCTTTCGTGTTTGTGCGCTCCAGCCTATATGTGTCTTGCCGTGGTTGCATGTGTGTGCCAACGGCAATATAAGCTTGACAGTGTTCATGCATGCACTGCTGCTGTGGCCCCATGGACAGTGTTTGCATTCCTTGATTGCAGCGTCCGCTTACTCCTGCCGTGTCATTTATGCTATCCGCGTGATTGTCAGCTGGAGACCATGATGTTGCCTGCTCTCAAGGACAGTGGATTGCCGGTCATGGCTGACTTGGAACACTCAAGTATGTTGGTTGTGCACTTTGTTTGTTGGTTTGCTTGCTTGTGTCGTGGTGCCCTCGTACTTGTGTGCGTGTGTATATTTGCGTGTGTTGATGTTACTGCACGCTTGAGAATTCTTGTCGGCACAATCTGTTGCAGTGTAGCTTACAATGCAGTTGACAATACGTGTCACGCACCTGTCACTGGATATGCCAATCTCAAGCTCATGCACAGGAAATCAAACGGCTGAATAAGGAGGGGCTCAAGGCTTTTCTTGAGGTGTTGGACCATGCAACAGCCGGTGCTATTGATCAGGTATGTGTGCGTGTGCGTGTGTGTATGTGTGTGTGTGTTTATGCCTGAAAGCCAGTGCGTGCGTGTACTCTTGCGTGTGCGTGTGCTGTTCTGTGCTTGCGTGTGCGTGTGCTGTTCTGTGCTTGCGAGTGTGTGTGTGTGTGTGTGTGTGTGTTAGTTAGTGATTGTGTGAGTGTGTGCTGCTCTGTACTTGCGAGTGTGTGTGTGTGTGTGTGTGTGTGCGTGCGCACTCATTTTGTTTTCCTTGCTCAGAGGAATGCGGCGTTGGAGCGGCTACGCGTCATCTTCTTCAACATCCATCACCTCGTCAACGAATTCCGCCCTCACCAGGTGCGACGCTCGCAGCAGAAGCAAGCACTCCCCTCTCTAGTATTGCGGTTCGACTCGACAGTCCATTGCGAGTCACAACTCAAACGCATTGCATGCATGCACACACACACACACACATGCCAGGCCATGGAAACCGTGAAGGTGATGCTGATGGAGCAGATTCAACAGCGCGAGTCTTTGGCTGCTGAGATTCAACGACACATTGATCATGCCGATGGCATCCTGGGTTCAGACCAACAACAACAACAACAACAACAACAACAACAACAACAACAACAACAACAACAACAACAACAACAACAACAACAAGCGTCTTGATGCACCACACATCACACACATCACACACACATTCAACACACACGCACACTCATCACACACACACACACACACACACACCGTCCGCTTTTTCTGCGGTGCTTGTTGACAATTAGCTGAAAATACGCATAATATTCGAGACTGGTTCGCGCGCAAATCTCAATTCCAGCGACGATTGTGTTGGCGGGTGTGTGGGGCTGGTGGTTGGTGTTTGAGCGGAAGGATCGACACAAAGGAGCACAAAGGGAGAAGAACAGAGGGGGAGGAGACGCAGCAGCAGCAGGAGTGGTTGAGAGAGGTGACAAGACGACAAGAAAGAGAGAAGAGAGAGAGAGATAACCAACACCAACAGTGCACAGGCCAGTGAAGGACACTCTCAAGCTGGCGGGAAATCTGTTCGCAAGCACAACCCACCCAACAGCACATATAGCACCGGCAAGCAGCTGAAAGTGGACACTGGGCGGGCAGGTTCATCGCCAAGCAGCGCCCACGTTACATTGCACTCACTATCCACGACGCCGCTTTGTGCGCGCGTGCAAAGACGTGGTAGTGTGTGAGCTGATGGTTGCGGACACCCGTGCTGCAGCCACGAACCTCCGCCGACCTCTCACCTCGACACCATGGACGATGACACCACCAGCAAAGCACGTCGCGGCAAAGGCACACCAAACTCCGCTCATGGCCAGCACAGAAAACCTGCCGCAGGTATTGTGTGCATGTATGCATGTATGTGCGCATTTGTGAGTGAGTATGATCTGTGTGTGCGTGTGTGTGTTTGTGAGTGAACGTGAGGTTTGTGTGTGTGTGTGTGTGTGTGTGTGTGTGCACGTATGTTGTGCATGCATGTTGAGAGGTGGGGTTCGTGAGTGCAACTTTACATGCACGTGGTTGATCGCATGCATCGAGTGCCTGCACCAGCTCACGCGATATGTCTCTTGCATCCTCCTGCACGTTCTCTGGCGCAGCCTTGCTGATTCAGAACAAAACTTTCTTTATTGAAGCCAATGACGAAGACCTCAAACTGAGGCTACGACTTTGTGGCGCGGTAAGCACCTTGACACCCCAGTTCGTTTTGCTTGAGGTCTGCCAACCACGCGCCTCCTGGTTCCGAAACCGCTCACGCGTGCTCTCCATGCTCACCATCGCCACGCCACGCAGAGGATTGAGTTGGCCCTCGATAAAGCCACCAACTATGCTGTCGTGCCCGCGGCAGTGCTCACGAAAGCATCAAACATACCAAAGAACAGGTACCTCGGCTTGCATGCATGCACCAGCATCTGTGTTGACAAATTGCACACATGCATGAACGCGTTTACCCTCCCTGCTGCGCGCACTTGCATCCTCGCTTGCACCGCATAGGGTTTCTCCCCCCCCCCCATCTCTCTGTCTCTCTATCTTTCTTTCTTTCTTTCTTTCTGTCTGCCTGTCTGTTTGTCTGTCTCTCTCTGTCACAATCACACATGCTCACACACACACACACACATACACACACACACATACACACACACACGCTCGCGCAAACTCAAACACACTCACAACTCCTCCCCGCCCCCTGTCTTTCTGTGACTGTTGCAGTGCTAAACTTATGCTTCAACGGCAAAGGAAGTCGCAAGCATTGCCGCGCCAGTCTGCGGTGGGAAGTAACAGAGCCAAACAACTCTTGGCTGCGTCGCGATCGCAGCCACGTGCTTCTGGCAGCAACAATGACGTCGACCCACAGCTCGCTGTTGCGCTTCAAGCCATCAGCCTCGGCATCCAGATCATCTCCACAGAGCAAGCGCGCCAGCTGTGTGAGGCGGTTCTTGGGACGCCAGCGCGTGCCTCGCTGGGACGGCGGCCCCTGTCATCAGGTGTGGTGACTGTCTCTCGCGGCAGGCTGCGCCAGCGGCCTCATCGACCAGGCATCCCTTCCAACGTCCCAACTACACGTCGAAAGGTGAGCCTTCGACACGATCACCGCATGTTTGTGCTTGCTTCCATGACCCCAGTTTCCCCCTCAACGCCACACACACACACACACACACACACACACACACACACACACACACACACACACACACACACACACACACACACAAACATACACGCGCGCGCAGGTCTTGGATTCGCCGTTTCTCAAGCTGGAGGAGCGATGTGGTGCATTTCGGGCGAGCTACATTGAATTTGCTCGACAAGGATCCTACAAGCGCTTTCCCCGCGTCAACTTCCTTGCACGTGAGTGTATGTATGTGTATGTGTGTGTGCATGTGTGTGTGTGTGTGTGTGTGTGCGTGCGTGCGTGCTTGCTGCAATCCGGCCCTTGCTTGACACATCAGCCAACACGCATACGCACACACAACCTTGCACTCACTCACCACTCACTCATTCGCTGAATTACACACGCACGCTCGCACTCCTATCTCCCCCGCTTACACCCACTCTCGACCTGCAGCGTATGACTACTCGCCGTTCAACCAGAAGAAGAGGGCGGGAAAGCGGGCGCGGAGGCGGCAGAGGAAGAAGAAGAAGCGGCGCATAGGTATGCAGCCAACAGATGCCCCTCACGGCATGTGCGAGGCGTGCATGAGACGCTACCGGTCGGGCGTGGACGACCACCGCAGGTCATCCAGGCACGTTGCATACCATGCCAACAAGCAGGAGTGGAGCGGCGTCACAAAGTGGATGCAGATCTACGACCTCGACAGGGCCATGCAGGAGTGGGAGGACTCTGCAAAGGACGCTGACTCTGCCCGGGGTGCGCCAACCACCCCCTCAAGGCACGCAAGCAGGCAGCAGGCACTTGCATTCGCCACGCGCCCATACAATCCAGACGTGACAAGACTGCATGCAAGACATGGTGGTCACCCCAACACACCCACTACCGCCAGTGCAGCTGTGGTTGCATCAACCCTGCCCAACACAACAGCAGCCACCACCACTGCTGCTGCTGCTGCTGCCGCGGCCGCCACAACAGCAGCCGCGTCCACTGCCACTGCCACCATCCCTGGAGCAGCGCCGCAGCACGCCATCTCAGAGAGTGTGGACGTCTTGCTCAATTCGCCATCGCCAGACAAGGTGGTGCGGAAGCACGCCATTCTGCGTCATTCGCGATTGCAGGCTGGACACCTCCCCCTGCGCCGCCTCCTTCGCGAAACCTCCGACGCCCCCGCAACCAGCGCAGCTACCGCCAGTGCAAGCGCCCAACCCAGGCCGGTGCGAGAACCAGCGGACGCGCAGCAGCGGCTGCGCGCCACAGGCAACAACAGCAGAAGCACCGGGTTCACAGCCACGACCGCTGGGGCTTTGGCCGCCAACGTCGAGGAGGACATGCTGTGTGCTAGCCCAAGCGAGACAACTCAGTCGCCTCGTCGTCATCGCAGTACCCAGTGGCACCGCAGGCTGTGGGCGGCGCGCGTGAACTTGGCCGCAGGCACGCATGGCCAAAAGTGTACCGATAATGATGAAGACAATGGTGATGATGACGACGATGGCGATGATGAAGACAATGGTGATGATAACGGCAATGGAGTCCGTGACATTGGTGATGACGATGGTGATGATGATGATGATGACGATGGTGGCGATGGTGGCGATGGTGATGATGATGATGATGATGATGATGATGATGATGATGATGATGATGATGATGATGATGATGATGATGATGATGATGATGATGATGGGCTTGACTCAAAGCACCGCCAGCATTTGGCAAGTGTCAAGGGCTCCCTTCAAGCGCCGGCGCAGCTGCAGCTACACGACCGTCGCCTTCAGCACCACCAAGGACCCAGAATACACAGTGGTGCTGTGGGTGGCGGTGGCTCGAATGCACCGCTTGCACATGCCGCTGCCGGTGCCACCAGCGACGAAGACCCGTTTGATTCGTATGTTCCAACCACGAGCGACTTCCCGCCTGGCGACACCAGCGCCGGCGATGGCGGATTTGGGCGCTCAACGGATACCTCGCACAGCCACGCTTTTCCGCACATCCTCACTGGCTTGCGCGGCTGTGTCGCCACCACCACTGCTGCCGTTCACGAGGCCCACGAGCAAGGTCACCACGCTCAGCAGATGCCTTTAAGTCAGGAAGGCGGTGGGCGTGGCGGGCCCTGCCCACACAGAGGGGATCTGGCAATGATTGTGGAGGAAGATGACGAAGAAGGCGGTGCCTTTGCTGTGGACTGCCTTGTCATGGATGAGCAGGAGGAACATGCCCGCAACGGCGATGTTGACAACGGAGGTGTCGAGAATGCGCCAGGCGGCGGTGAGCGTCAGGGGCATGGGCACACGGCAGTCGATCCAGCTCATGACGACGAGGGCGCCCGTAAGCAAATGCATACAGGCAAAGGCAACGACCAGCGCCCGGACGAAGACGACGAAGGTGGTGGTGGTGGTGATGATGACAATATCAACGACAATGACGATGATAATGACAACGACGACGACGACGATGATGACGATTACTTGCCGAGTGGTGATGATGCTGGCGCGGATCACGAAGAGAGCGATGATTCACTTCTGCGTGATGTGTTGTCCAGTGGTCGAAACACCCTGGCATCCACGCGCCGCCCCAGCGAGCGCTTCGAGCCACTTGCTTTCCCCCCAACGACAACAGCAGCAGCAGCAGCTGCTGCTGCGACCACTCTGCACGACATGGACCTGGCTGTTGCATCCCCATCACCACACAGCATGCTGATGCAAGAGCCCGACACGTACTCTGCAGCGGCCGGCATCCTCGCTGGCTCGCCGTCCCGTGCCCGTATCCACCGCCCGCACGCCAGCACAGCTCCACTCGCCCAGTCAGCCCATAATGCGCGCTTTCCCGCGCACGTCTTGAGCACGGATGCGCGGCTGCAGCGGCTGATTGCCAATGTCCTCATCAACCGCAACCGCTTTAGCAACGAGGCGCTGCTGGCCGATGCTGCACGCAAGAGTCGCACACCTACGCCAACACCAACAACGCCAGCCGCTGTGTCGACGTCGAAGCCAACTGCAGCGGCTTGTCCTGATCAAGTGCAACCGAGCAGCGTCCGGCACATGAAAGAAGCGCACGCTGTTGACGATGATGGCAATCATGCCAGCACCGGCCATGATAATGATGATGGACATTGCAAACGCCACGGTTCTGATGGGCTTGGGCATCCCGATCACGGCACTGCCAATGCTGGCACCGGTGACGGTGATGGAGACATGCGCGTGTCGTCCACGCCATTGTTTCACACGCTTCAGGCCGCGTTCCACGCAGACGATGAGGATCAAGACACAGCGAAGGACACCACGCCAACCGACACAGCTGGGGCTCATGGCGGACAGCGTGACACCGAAGCACAGCATGATGCAGCGGATGGCACCGGGAGTGAAGTTGCAGATGCGGATGCGGGTCATGGGAAGGATGAGCAGCAACGATGTCTGCTGTCCAACACACCGAACACACCGAACACAGACATGTCTCGTGGTGAACTTGAAGGTGCAGCGAGTGACAAGGGCGAGGAAGATGAGTACGAGGTGGTGGAGTACGAAGAGATTGAAGAGTATGAGGAGGTGCAAACTGACGACAATGATGAGGGTGAGGCTGACGCTGATGGTAATGATGCAAATGAGGCAAAAGCCCTCAATTTGGAGGGACAGGCGCAAAGACATGGTAAGGGTACAACTGAACAGCAACAAGAAGAGCATGACAACCCAGTCGAAGCTGCTGCCATGCGCGAGCAAGAAAAGCAGACAGACTTTGCCCAAGAGGGCGCGCGTGTTGCCGTTGAGCCTACAGCACCAACAGCTGTTGTGGATTCCAGCATCGAAGGCGTGGCTGATCTCGGTGTGTGCGCACTGCCGTCCCTCTCTGGTGATGACCCCAACAGCAACAAACCAACGACCAGCGCTGAAGACACGGATCTGGCCGTGGCCGCTGCCGCTGCTTCGACCACTTCATCTAGTGAAGCAAGGGTACCCAGGTGTGCAGCAGACGAGCAACGCACCCAGATGGAGCAAGCAGCTTCACCTCGCAAGGCGACCTCACCTCCTGTAGCTGCCCGCCGTGCGAAGCATTCGTCAAGCGAGGAGAAGCGGGAGGAGGCGCACGCTGCCAAGACCCAAAGGCGACAAAGTACTGCGAGGCATACATCAGCAGTAAAGAAAAGGAAAGGAGGAAAACGTCCATCATCTTCGTGGACGGGTGCCGCTGCTTCCGCCCCGCCCCTCTTGCATCACAGGTGCGTGTACAGTTTTCTCGCATCACACTGGTTGTTGTGCTGTGTTTGTGTTTGCGTTGCGTTAAGATGTATTGTGTTTGCTGCTTGGGCTTGGTTTGTTCTCCATTGCCGTCTCCTCCCAACGCTCATTGAACACCGGCAACTGTTGCGTCCGACGGTGGTGGCTGTGTTACTCTGGTATGCGCTTCATCAGGCGACAATCTCTGCGCCTTGCCGTCCGCGCAAGCCGCGAAAGCGTGCAAGAAAGCCCTTCACCACACCCGCCAGTGGCGGGGTCCGCGGAGGAGGATGTGAAGGAGGGCAGCGACGATGAAGACAACACACACGATGTATCGTCCGCAGCACATACCACTGACGCTGGCACGATGGCTCAAAACACACATGCAGCACAGGGCGTGTCGCCGCGCGTTGTTCAGAAGCAGAGGCGACGCACCTCCCGCTCAACCAGCAGCAGAGAGACCACCGGCAAGATGAAACAAGGGATTGTCGATATCGAAGACGACGCTGTTGTTGTTGCGAGTCGGCCAGACACCAGGCGTTCCCGCCGCCTCCACAAACAACAACAACAACAACAACAACAACAACAACAACAACAACAACAACAACAACAACAACAACAACAACAACAACAACAACAACAACAACAACAACAACAACAGCAACAACAACAACAACAACAACAACAGCAGCAGCAGCAGCAGCAAGAAGAAAAAGATGTCGGTGTGGAGCCGTCAGTCGTGGGTTCGCCTGCAAGGGCAGGGCAAAGGAGCCGCCGTCGCCGCTCGTCCAGCACCCAGCCAGCGAGACCAAAGGATCTGTTGCTGGGGCTTTCGCCAGGCAGGCGAAAACGGCCAGAGAAGCGTGGTGTGCCGCAGCATCCTGCCAAGTCCCGCTTGCATGGGGACCAGCTAGGTGCGATGGAAGAAGCAGGTGCAAAAGAGGCAAGCCAGGGCGACCACATGTCTGATGCGCCTTCCTCCGTGTTTGACTTTGACGACGAGGACCTGCCTAGCTCTCAGCCACTGGATGCAACAGCGCTTGACATCTCACCGGCCAAAGCAAAGGCTGTCCTGCGCTTATCCGCCTCTGCCTCGCCAGCCCTGCCCTCGTTCCCGAGCCACTCAGCGCGTCGCGCTGGTGCCACTGCCGCCCAGAGTCGGCGGCCACTGAAACGCCGAAGCAGCAGCAACAACACCGCGCAACACACTGACAACGAGCCCACCGATGGTGATGGTGGCAGCGGTACAAGCCAGAATAGTGGTGAACGCACCGCGGCGTCTGCAGCAGTGCTGCCAGTGCACCCACCAAGCAAACGCACCAAGTCCAAGGCAGCGGCAGACCGACGAGCCCCGGCTGCGCCGTCCTCCCCATCAGCCAAAGCACCAACCCGCACGCTCCGCCGTTCACGCCGCACAAGTGCCACCGCCACGGCTTCCACCACCTCAGCAGCAGACACAAGCACACACGGCAATGACAGTGGTGCGGCAAAGGACCCGTTGCTGGAGGAGGACAAGCCACAGGCAAAGCGACGGAGCGGCCGCACGGCCGGTGCCACCACCGGCAAGCGAGCGAAGCGCAGCCCTGCATCCACCACTCCCGCCGCTACTGTTCTCCCTGACACCTTGACGAAGGCTTCCTCGCCCGTGTCCAGGCGCCGGTCTTCAACAAGAACACTGCCACCAGCAGCAGAGGCAACAACGGCAGTAGCAACGGAGACGATGGTACAGAAGAGGGCGAAGAAGATAAAGAAGTCAGTGGACACGGCTGACGATGTGAAGGAGAATCAGGCGTCACCGGGGAAAAGAAGAGCCGTGATCAGGCGGACAGAGCGCAAGAAGGCGGCCACCGCAGCCACCAAGTCATCCACTGTTACGACACCCATCCGTGCGGACACCATGGCAGCTGCCCCTGCAGGCGATGTCTATGACTTTGAGAGCGAATTCAGTTCTGCAACACCGCTGTCGCTGCCGCTGGAGCGCAAGGCCAGCGCTCGTGCGAGCCCTGCCACCACGGCACCCGCGGCCTTCAAACGGCGGCCGCGCGCACACACGTCCAAGCTGCTGTTTGATCAGCTCGACGTTGCGCATTCATCGTCGCTCCCGCGCACTCCAACGCGTGATACAGCAGGCGACAGCCGCAGCTCCACAGCCAGCAGTGCGGCGAGCCGAGACAGCAGTGCACGCAAGGTCAAGTCTCCTGCGACACCGCAGACACCGATGGCGAGTAGCACGGACCGTGGCGCCCACGCTCCAACCTCAGCAGCCTCCAAGCGAAACCTTCTGCTCATGCGAAAGCCTTCTTCAGCAGCGAGCAAGCCATCACGCACCGCTGGTTCTGGTGCGCGTGCAGCGGCTGCCATGAAAGTCACGCTCATGGACGAGGTGGCCAAGGGCGAGAAGCCGGTGCTGGTCAAACGCAGGAGGGCAAGCAAGCCCAGCCAGGCACAAGCGCAGCAGCAAGCAGAATCGCTTCCGCCACCAACGCCAACGTCAGCGCCAGCTGCACCGCACACTGGACAAAAGGAGGACAAGAGCGTGACATCGTCCAACACAACCGCCACACTGCTCACGACTCCAACCAAGACAACCAACCCAACTGACAGGCCAGCTGCCAGCCCCGCATTTTCCCTGCCCGCGTTTCCCAAAGCATTTGGGCGACCACGCCAAGGCTCCGCAAGAACTTAAAGCCACAGTGTGTGTGTGTGTGTGTGTGTGTGTGTGTGTGTGTGTGTGTGTGTGTGTGTGTGTGTGTGTGTGTGTGTGTGTGTGTGTGTGTGTGCGTGTGTGTGCGTGTGTGTGTGTGTGCGTGTGTGTGTGTGTGTGTGCGATCGGCTACGTCCCGTATTGTTCATACCAATCAATGACTCTTGCTCCCAGCCTCACACCCAACGGGTTTGTAACGAGGTGACTGCTGAACGACTCTGGTGTACATTTGATAAGCCAACGATGATGGCCTGTACTGACGATGAGACGTGTGAATAAACCGCAGCAACAAGAACTGTATTGTGCTGGTGTCAATGTCAACACGTGATGTGATGCGGCCCCAGCGACGAGTACGGACAAAAATGTCCTCAACACGCATCACACACCTGCACACATATGCATCACAAACGGCCAAACAATAGCGCTACAAGCGGAAAGCAAGAGAGGGGTGTTGCAAGAAACCAGCATGAAACCATGGCCCAAACTGCTTCGAAGAAACGAAAACACAAGCAGCAAACAACAGAAAAAACGAGTAGCACGAAACATCCCAGTTGCCCTGTCATTCGAGTGACCAAGAACTGGGATACTTTGCATGCACGTGTGACTGATGAGTCAACAGGAGCACTGTGCACACGGTGCCCGACGCAAGCGCGCATCGGGGAGGGCTCACAATGAACAAGGACTTGCACCATACACGCACAGAGTAAACGCACACGAAGAGAGTGTAGAGAAATAGCCATAAGACACAAAGGGGTGTGGTGCAACAGCATACAGTGGGAAACAAGCAATAGGCAAGTGGGAAGGACGACACGCCCTCGCGAAGACATTTGGGGGAAGGGGGGGGGAACACAACTGGCATGAAACCAAAAGAGAACAATCAGCGTGCGCAGGGTGTTTGTGCCCGCACTAAATTGGGTGAGGTTGCACGCGGCGCAATCACTTGCGATAGTTGCGGCTTGGCAGAGGGGGATTGCCCTTCTTGCCCTTCTTGTTCTTCTTCTTGCCACCCGACTTTTCGATCGCCGACACCGGCGGAGCATCAGCCTCCTGCACAGCACAGCACAACATCAAACATGTGTGAGTGTAACAGCGCAAGGGAGCGAAAGACAACGAGGCAGATGGTACCGACAGTTACAGCGGTCAAGCAGGGTGGGTAAGGGGAGCGTAGCTTGAAGCAAGGTGGTGGTGGATCAGCAAAGGGCTCGCAATGCTCGCCAAAGCCAGACGCAAACACGCTTCAAAGCAAACTACAAGTGAGAGAAACGCAACGAGCGGTGGAGCACGCACCAGTCGTGTCGCAAAGCCTGGGTAGTGCACTTCCTGGAACTTGCGCACGCACTGCTCGAGATACTGGTACTTGAGCGGGCCTGAGCACGTGTGAGGTCATGTCGGGTGAATAATGGGTGAGAACGATTGTGGATGTTGTCGGTCAACATTGGGAGAGGGAGAAGGGGGGGCGAAGGGGTAACACGTGCTTCATGGTGGAGGGAAGGGATTGCGAATGGACGATTAAGTACGACAAGCAACTGAACGTGTGCGGTTTCTCTCTTCACATAAGGGCTTGCGACAAAACAGCGTAAAAATAAAATAAAACTAATCAAGACGAAACACACGCCCACACACACACACACACACACACACACACACACACACACACATACATACACACATACACCGGCCAAGGACACTCACGGTTGTTGAGGGAGAAGTTCCTGTGCTTCTTCTTCTTGAGAAGATGGTGGTAGAACTTGCGTTCGTACGCATAGGAGATGGCAAAGGTGACGGTGGTGCGGGTGCGAGCGCGTTCGCGCACGAGGAAGCGGCCGTCCACCTGTCCACGCTCAAGTAGCTCCTTTTCCGCCTCATCTCGAGACATGGAGCCGCGAAGCCTGCAGGGCACGCACAATGTGTGTGTGTGTGTGAAAGAAAAGTGGTGAGGTCTTGATGGCGAAGGTGGAGGAGCACGCAGATGGCGAGCAATTTGAGGAGCGGAGGGGTGCGGTCTCACACTGCATCGCCCGTCATGTCATGGCTGACCAACAACAGTCAAAAAGAGCACGCACATACCATGAGGGCTTGTTGTGCTCGCCGCCTTCAAGATAATCACTGACAATCAGAGGATCCATCTTCGACTCGTCAACGTCATCCTCCTCCCTGCGGCACACAACACACAGGGCGCGTAATGTTGATGAGATAGCGTGTGTTTGAGTGTGTGAGTGTGTGAGTGTGTATGTGTGTGTGAGTGAGTGAGTGACAGACAAAAGAAATAGGCACAGGTACAGCACGTGACAAGGGTGTGTCCATAGGCGCGCCAACACACAAAGCCCAGCATTTCAATTGGCAAGCCAGCATTGATGGAAGAACTGACATGTTCCGAGGAACGAAGCTGGGGTCGTATGATTTCTGCACAATGAAAAGGAGACAGTGAGTCGAGAAATGGGCGTGTGGTGTGGACAAACAAGATGTAAGTCAGACAACATGTACAGGCTGACACATAACCACAAACAAAAACGCAAACGCACACAAACAGATACACACGCAAGCGCACATACAAACGCACAACGCACCACTTTGCCTGCAGGGGCGCCCTTGATGCTTGAGAGGCCAATGTCGAGGCCAAGATCGTGCTCCATGTACAGCGGGCTGACCAGGCGGTCGCCGCTCGAAGACACGTCATTCTCGTGGTAGAATTTGACTGCAGGCGAAAGTGTAACGTCGAAAATGGATGAGTCAAAAAGACCAGTGGGGTACTTGTCAAAGATCAGTGGGCACTTGCCCACTACCTGCAAGCACAACACGATACACGCAAGGTGTACGGGATACAAGCTCATACGCACGGTGCACACGTGCACACGCTGCAAGCAACCGAAAGCAACACCGCACCGAGTTCTTCAAGGTCGCCAAAGTCCTCGTCAGAGCCGTGCACAATGTAACCACCCTGTGCACCCAACATCATCGAAGCAGCAGCAAGATCCCATCAGCACGAGATATTCAAAGAGAGAGACAGAGAGAGGGGGTGGGGGTGGGGTGAGTGTGTGCATGTGTCGTGTTGTGTCTTGTCGTGTCGTGTGGTTTGCACATGCCCGTGCCCGTGCAAATCGAGCTTCATCAACAGGTTGCGTGGGCACATAGGGGCATGCAACGTACGTTATCGCTGTGGGCAATCTTGTAGTGGTTGACGCGCTTCTTGAACTTGAGCGAAATGGCGTAGCCGTTTGCGCGCTCGCTCACGCGAATGAGGAAGGTGCCGTCATCCTCGTCGTACAGGAAGTTCTGTCCGCCGCAACGAGATGAGGAGCAGCGTCAGACAACGTTGGTGCATTAAGGAATTCGCACATGGTGTGACACGTGGAAAACACGTGAGCTTCACTGGCATCACACATAACCACACACACACACACACAACCACGCACAGCCACACACACAGCCACACACACACACATGCACACCTGAAGCATCCACGGCAACCTCTTTTCAAAAACGCCACCACCACTACCACCGCTATCAACACAACCACCACCACCACCACTGCCACCAGATACGGATATGTTTGTAGCGCACCTCTGCCTCCTTGCGGGAGATGAGGCCGTGGAACCAGGGGAAGGTTTCGCCGTTGGAGTCCAGGTGCGCGCGGCGCTTGCGCTCGTACTTGTTCCACCAGGAGGCAGCAACCTTCTGCTTCTTGTTCAGGTCCTTCTTGGCCTTTGCCTGCGCCTTCTTGACGTCGACCTTCTTGCCGGCCTCCTTGACAATCTTGCCAGCCTCCTTCATCATCTTCTTCTTTGCCTTGGCCTCGTCCTTGGCAGACACCTCCTTCAGCAGACCAAGACCCTTCGGGCCGCGACGCTTCTCCTCTGAGATGAGCGTCTGCACACCACCACAGCGTTTGGTTGTTTTTTTTTTTGTTTTTTTTTTGGTGGTTTTGTGCGTGTGCGGATGTGTGTGTTTGCATGTTGACGTGAGCTTGGGAGGGGGGAATGCAGAGGGCTGGTGCATTGGCCAGGACACACCAGCCGTTACACGACTCAACAACCACACATCCAGTTGCGCCACACAACAACAACAACAACAACAACAACAACAACAACAACAACAACAACAACAACAACAACAACAACAACAACAACAACAACAACAACAACAACAACAACAACAACAACAACAACAACAACAACAACAACAACAACAACAACAACAACAACAACAACAACAACAACAACCACACCACAAAATCACACCACCGCCACAAACACGGCACCTGGAGGTTGTCGTGGATCTCGCCGCTGCTGGAGCGAACATCGACGAGGAAGTTTGCGATGGAGGCCATCTGGTCGTGGTACTTCTGCAGCATCGGCACATAGCGGCAGCGCGCAATAAAGCGGCGGGCAAGCGCCTGCACCTTGATGATGGCAGTGTCAAACGGCTTCAGCAGCGTCTCGAGGACATCCGTGTGCCAGTACTTGAGGAACATCTTGGAGTTGGCAGGCTTCCATCCGTCCAGCGTTGTCACGCGCGCCGTCTGGTGGCAGTTGCATCACCGATCAGACAAAGAGGGGGGGGGGGGGTGTGCAGCACGTGGGTGAGATGGAATTGTGGAGATGTGTCGCACAAGAAACCCACAGGCAGCAACCCACAGGAAGCAACCTTTCACGAGCCGAGCTACGCACACAAACACGCACACAAACACACATAGACGGCGAAACAGACAACTAAAACATGCAAGCAACCCAAATGAGCAAGCAAACGAGCGCACCAGCTTCTTCTCCTTGCGGATCTCCTCCTGCTTGGCCTGTGCGGTCTTCATGAGCTTGATGGCCATGTCCTTGGAGTTGCCGTAGCTGGCCGAGAAGGGAAACGCAATACCCTGATACCTGCACACACACAAGGGAAACACGCGGACAGGGTGTGTGCGTGTGTGAATGTGCGTGTGCGTGTGTGTGAGTGTGAACCGGTGCAAGCAGTGGTGTGGAGATGCGTATGCAGCAATAGTGAGCCAGTGCCGGGATACAAGGAGGTGCAATGAGCACAAGACGACCAAAACGCTTGACGAACCGCTGAAGGAGCTCGCCCCACTCGAGGCGGACGGGGAAGCCTTCACGGCGCATCTCAATCGTCTGCAGCATACCCGTGTACTTGAGCTGCTTCTTCACAAGCTCGCCAACTGCATGAAGTGTGTTGTTGTTGTTGTTGTTGTTGTTGTTGTTGGATCAAGTCGCGCACCGTGAGAGATGACACTTGCTCCAACGTGCCGCAACGATCCGAGCAAGTCAAAAGCGGCAAACGCAACACGCACGTACACATGTGCGCCAGTGGCACTCACCGAACATCTTAGGCTTCTTCTCGAGGTTTGGCTTGATGCAGCGCACAAAGTGAGGAATGCAGCGGTTCATCTCAGTCATCAGCTGGTCCAGACTCGTCCTGAACTGGAAACTCACCGTCGGCTGCAGGCGGCGGTGGTGTCAGGGTGTGAGGAGGTGAACATGCGTGTGCACTCATGTGCCATGTGAAAGTGTGTGTGTGTGTGTGTTTGCATTGGGGAGGTGTCACGACTAAAACAAATTGCGTGCACGCCATCAGAAACCACACACAAGCAGCACCCCTAATCCTCGTGCACGTGAACCAAGCGCATGCAACACCACCACATGCTACAGACCAGGGCGCGGGCCTTCTTGCCACGGCGGCTCTTCTTGCGGGTCTTCTTGCGCTTGAGCTTTGCGGCCTTGGACTCCTCAGGCGCGGCGTTGGCGCCAGCGGCCTCGCGCGTCAGCTCAATGTAGTTGGGCTTGAACAGCAGGTGCGCAACCGAGTTGCTGGCCGCCTCCATGTTGGGCGCCATCTAGCGACATGGACGGGGGAGAGAGACAGTGTGTGTGACAGAGAGTGACAGAGAGACAGACAGACAGAGAGACAGGGAGTGTGTGCACGTGTGTGGTGATGGAGGCGGTGATGGTGAGGATCGGGAAGGCGAAACCAACGAGATGAGGCAGCGCCAGTCGCAAAAGGAGACGTTTCCTCATTAATGCACAGCATACACTCTCAAACACACAACACATACACACCAATGAACAGGGAGACATGTACCTGGTTTGGCAAGGGGTCCTTGTTCTTCTCAATCATGCCCTCAATCTGATACTCGATGCCTCCAGCGTAGTGCTTGACAACAAATGCGTACCCACCCGGCTTAATCTCCAGCGCCTCCTGGTCCTTGAGCTGATCCGTCAGCTTCTGCATCAGCGTCTGGTCCGTCGCTGTACACGCACACAGACACATATGAAGAGAGAGAAGGGGGGGGGGTGCATAGGCGTGTGAAATGCGTGCACAAACACATCGGGTGAAGTAAACAGCACTGGCAGCAGCACTAGCAACAGCAGAGTGGCAGGGGCAAGCAAGAGGTATCTAACCGCCAGGGAAGTTGGTTTCTTCGTTGAGGATGGAAAGCAGGGAGACCTTGCTGTGGATGCGAAAGAAAAGCAGTCGCAGTGATGGTGGCAGCGACGTGTGAGTCATTCCCGGTGAAAGAAACAAACGCAGTTTGTACCGTGTACTCGAGCAACGCACATCCACTGCCGCGAATGCACACACACACAAGCGCAAACACACAAACACACACGCACACACCTGAAGAAGAGGTCAAGAATCTTGTCGTTGTCCTCGAAGAAGACGCTCTCTGCGCCCTCGATGCCCTCTGCTTTGTACTCAGCAATCTCAGAGGCGAAGATGTGCTCGTTGAAGAAGTGGTGCAGTCGCTCATTCGCCAGGTTGATGCACATCTGGTCAAAGCTGCACGCACGATGGCGCGTCGCGGAGAAGACAGCGGAACGTGAGTTGTGTGCAGCACTATGAACGCGCAGGCATCGACAACACACACGCATACATACACGCAACCAACTCACTCACAAACAAAGCACCCATCCACATTCACACTTACGCACGTCAGCACATTAAAACACAAGCACACACACACACACACACACACACACACACAAACACACACGACGAGTTCATGTGCACATGCACGCCGCTCCTCCTAATGCGCACGTACCCGTTTGCCTTGAAGTCCTCAAAGCCGAAGATGTCGAGCATGCCGATGGTGAGCTGCTTCTCGGAGCGGAGGTTGTTGGGGCACAGCATGATGTCCAGACGGGTGACGAGCCACGTGAACAGGCGGTCGTACAGCGCCTTGGACACGGCGTCCCGCGAATATTGCACCTGTTGCGTTTAGGTAGCGGGCGAACAGACGGCCGTAGGCGTGGTGTTGAAGGGAAGGGGGCAAGCGTGGATCGTGAGGGGCGGTGAAAACATGCAGTGGTGATGGCAGTGGTGGTGCGGTATTGGGAGGCAACCCCAGCGTGTGCAGCCGCAAACATTCTTGGCAAGCGCACGCAGCGCATCACACACACACACACACACAACCACACAACCACACAGCAGCATGAACGCACACAACAACCAAATACAAACACACGCAAGCCCAAGCGCACGCACGTCTGTGATGTTGAGTTCCTGGATAATGGCCTGGCCGACCACCTCGAGGCGCTTGGTCATAAAGCCGATGCGCAGCTTCTCCGGCTCGACACCAAGATTTGCCGCCGCCTTCTCCAGCTCCGCCGCCGTCGTGATCTCGGCCTTGTCCGATGACGTGTCCTTGAACTCAAAGTTGCCCAGCAGCAGCACGGTGGCCAGGATGCGCTGGATGTCCTCAATCTCCTCGTTGGTAAAACCGACTTTGCCAAGCGCCTCAATCACCTCCGTGTACTCGGCCTTGAGGTTGTCCATGTCTGAGCGGCGGCTCGCCAGATACCTGTCGCCGTTGTGTGTTCGTTGGATGGAAGTGTAGCGTTGCAGACAAGTGAGAGAACAGTGTGTGCTAACGTGATTCGTGTTGATGTGTGCGCGTGTGTTTGGCTCTGGAAACAATCCATCGCCTCAGGCAGCGAGTGATACGAAAAGGGAGCGTAGTGGAAGCCACAACAGGCCACAAACACACAGGGCACTGACTTGAACTGGGAGATGCCTGCAAGCTTGAGGGCGCCGAGGTCGCCGCCGGCCAGCAGCAGCTCGAAGATGTGGTAGTTTCGCTCCCCAGGGCCCTGTTTCACAACCTGTTCAAACAAACAAACAAACAAACAAACAAACAAACAAACAAACAAACAAACAAACAAACAAACAAACACACACACACACAAGCACACATACGAGGGCGAGTGAATACGTTGCGTGGGTTGTTGATGAATTTCCATCAAGGTCCGGGAAACAACTCAAACCCACAATTGTGTGTTATGTGAGAGCACTCGTACTCGTGTGCGCGTGTTGTCATGATGAACCGTACCCTGGCCTTTTCGAGGAGATAGTGTGACATTGAAGCACCAACAACCATTCCAATGGGGCTGAACTGTCGAGTGGTTGAGGGAAACATCACAAGCGCGCAGACAAACAAACAAGCACAGCACAGGCAGGCAACATGCGGTGTGAGAGGCAAGTGGAGGTAAGATGGAGCAAGCGACGCACCCAGCGTACACATGCGTGGAAATGCAGCACGGCTCGCACACGGGGTGTATGTATCATGCCACAGCCACACCAACCTTGAGCTCGATGAACTTTCCGAAACGCGACGAGTTGTCGTTCATGACTGTCTGTGCGTTGCCAAACGCCTCCAAGATAGGGTTGGTCTGGGTGTTGGTGTTGGTGTTGGTGTTGATGTTGGTGTTGGTGTTGGGTGTGAGTGTGCGTGAGTGTGTGAAAGCGATTAAGTATGTGTGCGTGGGCGTGAGTGTGTGAACGAGGGAGTGAATGCGTGGGTGCGCTCGTGTGTGCTGAATGCTGAGCAACTGACCTGGATAATCTTCTGCTCAACGGGATGCAGTTCGCGCGGGCCGTCGTCGTCTCCACCGCCATTGCGCCGGCTGCTGGCCATCATAATCTGTGCAGCGATGTGATAATGGTGGCGTGATGACGATAATGATGATGAAGGCAGTTGGCGATGAAGATGGTGAGTATGGTTTGAATAAGCAAGCACGCGCGGTGTGTTGCAGGCAACAGCACCACAGAACGCAAAGCAGGCACGCAACATGGTGGCAACTGTGCATGACCACGCCGTGCTTCAACCACGCACCTGTCGCATGAAATGCTTGGTGCTCTCGGTTTTGCCAGCACCAGACTCGCCAGAGATCACAGTCACCTGAAAAGAGGAGAGTGAGCGAGTGTGTGTGTGTGTGTGTGTGTGTGTGTGTGTGTGTGTGTGTGTGTGTGTGTGCGTGTGTGCCCGCGCACGTGAGCGAGTGTGTGTGTGTGTGTGTGTGTGTGTGTGTGTGGTGTATTCAAGAGAGTGTATGTGTTGACTTGTGTGGAAGCGCAGGTGCACATTTATCGTTGTGCCTGCATGTTTGTGTACGTGTGTGTATAAGATGCAGCCTGCATGCTGTAACCCACACGTGCAGCAGCGCATCATCATCATGCGCACTGCCCCCATTCACACATGCATCTCAAACACCATGTTCGTGGCTTGGCCATACCTGGGGCTGGCTGTTGCGCATCATGGCATTGTATGCGCCGACAGCGATGGCGTACAGGTGTGGCGCAAAGTCGGCCTTGCTGGAGATGTCGCAGTACTTGAGCGCAATCTCGGGCGTGTACAGCGGCAGCATCTGGTACGGGTTGACGGCGACAAGAATGTCACCGACATACGTCTGCATATGTGTGCGCATGTGTGAGTGCATGTGCATATGTGCATGTGCATGTGTGTGCATGTGTGTGTGCATGTGTGAGTGTTCATGTGGACAGGTATCAAGTAGCAAAGGAGGTGGGAGAGGGGCGGGGAATGCAACAAGGGTCTGGCTAGCCCCTAGTGAGCCTGTCGCCCTCGCAGTGGACCAGCCATGCCATCGGCTGTGGACGGAACAAACACACACACGTGCACACACACACGTGCACACACACACGTGCACATACACATACACACACACGCACACGCACACGCACACGCACACGCACACGCACACGCACACGCACACAGATCCACAAGCATGCAACGCTGCACAGTCAACAAACAACAGGTGCTGACGCACGTAGATGATGTCGGAGTTGTAGCGCTCCTCGAGCTGTGCATTCAGCTTGTCTTCGTCAAGCGCATCCTTGCCGGAGACAAGGTCATCTGTCTTGCGGAACTCGCCGTTGTCCATGATGCACGAGTCAAGTCGTCACGGGGAGCAAAACAGGCGTCCTTCGTTGACTGGGTTGCTGACCACACCGACTGCTCCTCACCACAAGCACACGCACACAAAACCCAAACGTTGCTGCTCGCTGGCTCACTCGCTCGTGCACAAATAACAATAAGAAGTGAAGAGGTGTTGTGTGAATGCACAGAAAGAACAAGAAGGGGTGTGTGGGAGTGGCAACAAACACAAGCACAGCCCCCAAACGCCTTGCACTGATGATGTGTTGTTTGCTCTTGTGTGTGCTTTCGCGGCTTTTTTTTTTTTTTTGTTTGTGGGAGGCGGTGCAGGGAGGAACGGAGAAAGTTGTCAAAGAAAATCAAACGGCATCGCTCATGAACAAAGCTTGTGGGGGTGGTTCTTCTGCGGAGATGGCATGTTGTTGCTGTTGTGGTTGTTGTGGTTGTGGCTGTTGTGTGTTGTTGCTCCCTTGATGTGGCCTGCTTCTCTGCCGCTCCCCTCCACTTTCTTGACTGCCCCTCTCCACTTGCCTCGTGTCCATGCTCCAGCTATCCAGTCATGTATGTGTATGTATGGATGGATGTATGTACATTGCACGTCAGTTAAAAGATGTGTGTTTGGGGGGGGGGTGAGCAGTCATTCACGCTGCAACTGTGCCAGCTCTTGATTCAAGGCAACCGATTCCTCTTCCAAAGCCTGTTGAAAACAAGGTGCGCAGTGTGCGTGTGTGCGTGCACGTGTGTGTGTGTGTGTGTGTGCATATGCGTGTATGAGAGTGCGTGCATGTGATAGTCTGAGTTTGGAGCATGATGAAGGCTGAGTGTGTCACACAAAGAACGAGACGCTGTCGGGCTGTTGCAATCTGGCAATCATGGTTGTACCACGACAACACCAGCTGTAGACAACACACAAACACACACATACGCACACGCACGCACACACACACACACACACACACACACAAACACACAAACGCGCAAACACAAACTTACAAAAACACAAATGCAAACACACAAATGCAAACACACGCAAACACGCACAAGCGCTTGTGTACGCACCTTGTGCTGTTTTTGTACGGCTGCCATTTGCGCCTCCAAGTCTGCTTTCGCCGCCTGTATTGCCTTCAGCTGCTGCGTTTCCACTGCGGCATCTGTGCCATGCACACACACATGCAAATGAACAAACAGACACGTCAGGAGTAGATGGACAAGTGATAACTACATGCTCAGTTGAGCGGACGCGGGGAGGCAAGAGGGGGGGGGAAGATAAAGTTCAACAACACTTGGCTGTTCCTTGTCCGCAAATGACGCAAGAACATACAATCACGAGCGCGGGGCTGCAGCATGGGGCTCGGCTCTTTGTTGAGGTACTTGGCCATGGAATCAGAAGGGTTGGAAAACACCTGGCAGCATGGGTTCACAACAAATCAGAGGAGGTGTGATGTGTGCGTGTGTGTGTGTGTGTGTGCGTGTGCGTGTGTGTGTGCGTGTGTGTGTGTGTGTGCGTGTGCGTGTGTGTGCGTGTGTATGATGTGTATGAGGTGAGCAGATGAGGCGCTGACAAGCCGTCAAGCAGCAAGAAAGAAAACAGCAGCTAAGAACCAGCTGCCCACCCACAGGCGCATGCACAAGCACACGCACACAAGCACAAACACACACCAGCTCGTCAAAGCTCTCCGCGACAACGGAGTTGTCGTCGGCGGTGATGGTTTTGTCGCTCGGGAACAGCCGCACAATGTGTCGAAGCGTCATCTGCAGGCGGGTGCGGCGAAGAGCGGAGATTACGGACACAAGAAGGAAAGCGAAAACATATGTCATTCAAGCGACACGACTGTCCAACACAAATCAAGGCATGCACAAACACGCAAAGACACACAGACACACGCAAAAATACACACACACGCACATCCACACAACATAAACCCACTGGACTCACCGACTTGAGGGTTGTTGGGTGGAACTGAATTTTGATTTGTGCCTCGAATTCGCCCCAGCCATTCTCCACAACTTGGAAGGGCGGCTTATCCACGACTGCGTACAAATGTAGAATCACCAACATGAGTCTGCGGTAGAAAACACATGGATACGCAATCACTAGGACACATATGCTCATTGACACACACACACACACACACACACACACAAAAGCACGACCTCGTGTTGGGGGTTTGAAGCTGGGGTGCAACGTGAATGTCACCTTCTTCACAAAGTTCTCCAGTGGCTGCACATATGGTTGCACATGTGTGTGTGTGTGTGTGTTTGGGTGTGAGTGGAAGAGGTGCTCGCGTGTGAGTGATTACACATACACCCATGGTCTGTGTGTTTGGACGCATCCATACATGGCTTGTGTGTCTGGACTTGAAGGGTCGCATCATCAGCTCGAGCATGCGCCGCGCGCACACACCGTACCTCGTTGGTTGCGCTTTGGACGTAAAGCTTCCACTCGTGCGTGTGTGGCGAGTCTGGCGATCGTTCAATGATGTGTGCCGTGTTTCCATACACGATGCGCTTGTGCACCACATTCTTCTCCGCCATGATGATGCCGCTGATGTACTGCTGTGTGTGTGTGTATGTGTGTGTGTGTGTGTGTGTGTGTGTGTGTGTCGTGTGTGTGTGTGTGTGTGTGTGTGTGTGTGTGTGTGTGTGTGTGTGTGTGTGTGTGTGCGTGTGTGTGTGCGTGTCCTGCTTCTCAGCTTCTCGCTCGCTCACCGCTTCGTGATGGTTTTCAGTGTTCAAGTGTTGCGGGCACGGAAAATAAGTAGGAGATGTACACGAATTATCTCGCCTGTGACAGTTTCTGTGTGCCAAAAAAAGCAAGCGCAACACCTTGTTGTTGTTTTGCCTCTTCGCTTTGTGTGTTGTGCCACCGACCCACCGCATCAACAACCATGGCTTCTGCAACCAAGAAGCAGGCCAAGAAAGGCCAGCAGCAGGAGGAGGGCGCTGTCTTTCAGGAGGTGCGTGTTGTGTATGTGTATGTCTGTGTGTATGTGTGTGTGTGTGTGCTGTTGTCTGTGTATGTATGTGTGCGCGCGGTGCATGTACTTTGTTTTGTGTGCTGGAAGGCAATGACATGCATGTCAGGAGTGCCAGCCAGTAACCGGTTGTCCAGGTCTTGTGTGCGCCTGGTATTGTGTACGCTCATGCAAACTTTGTTGCTGCCATGCTGTATGCCTGGTTTTGGTTTCCCGCGCCGCTGTGCATGCAGGACTTTGAGCCAACGCCCTTTTGGGTGGCGGTGATGACGTACCTTGGATACGCGGTGCTCTTCCTGTACGGCCGCCTTCGCGACTTTATGCGCAACCACAACTTCGAGCAGTCCAAGACCGCCAAGGAAATGAGCAAGATGAAGGTGAGCCTCAGTGCTGCCAGCATGTGGCTGTCTGTGTGGGTCTGTGTCTGTGTCTGTGTCCGTGTGTGTGTGTGTGTGTCTGTGATGCTGCGCTTGTGTCTGCAACAGTGTTGTCTGCGAGGGTGTCTGCAACAGTGTTGTCTGCGAGGGTGTGTGCGTGTTTCCCCCGCCCCAGTCAGCCGCTGTTTTCTGATTGCCGCGCTGCTTGCTCATTCCCCTGCTGCTCTGCTAAATCTCACACGCCTTGCCAACACCACAACCACATGCACGCACGCACGCACAACAACAACAACAACAACAACAACAACAACAACAACAACAACAACAACAACAACAACAACAACAACCAGAGCTTCCCGCCACTGTACCGCGACTTTGAGGCGTTCTACACCCGCAACCTGTACCGCCGCATCCGCGACTGCTGGAACCGCCCCATCTGCAGCACGCCTGGCTCCACCTTCACCCTTGTCGAGCGCGAATCAAAGGACCACGGATGGACCTTCCAGTACGTTGATACACACTTTGCCCAGACAACCGCACAGTTTTGTGCATGCACGCATTCACACACGTACACATGTACACAGCATGTCACCTGCACATGTACACACGAGCGCACATGCACACTCAACGCAGCGCACGCTGCAAGCAAAAGCAACCGGTGACAGTACGCCCACAAGCTCTCACACGCATTTGCTTTGGTTGGTGCAGGCCCACGGGTGAGAAGAAGTCGTACATCAACCTCGGATCATACAACTACCTTGGCTTTGCCGAGAACAAGGGTGCGTGGTCCACTTTTGTTTGTTTACGCCTTGCGCGTCATTGTTGGGCAGGCCATGGACATGGTAGTGTGTGAGTGATGAAGTGGCTCGCACTCGTGTCAACAAGCGCCACAACAACAGTGCAGTTGTTCGTGAGTGGTGCAGTCACATCCACTTTCTTGTCATGCACATGCTAACTGCTATCACCATTACCACCACCACCACCATCATCGTCATCGTCAGGCCCCTGTGCCGACGCCACCATTGATGCCATCAAGAAGTACGGTGTCACCTACTCCAGCCCACGCGCTGAGCTCGGTTCGTTTTGGCCTGCCTCATATGTGTGTGTGTGTGTGTGCATGTGTGTGTGTACATGCATGTGTCGATGTGTTACTCTATCCGTCTGTCTCTCCCCCTGCTTCTGTCCCTCGACTGGTGCCAGTTTGCATCGTGGTGTCGTCACACCTTCTCACAGAATTACCACGGCTTGTGCCCCCTTCGTCGCCACTCTTTCAGGCACGAGTACAATTCACAAGGAGCTTGAGGACTGTGTTGCTCGCTTCATTGGCAAGGAGGATGCAATGGTCTTTGGCATGGGATTCGCAACAAACTCAACAAACATGCCCGTCCTCGTCGGCAAGGTGCTCAATGCCATGGCTGCTCGCTCACCTTTGCGCGTGTATGTCTGTGTAAATGTGTGTGTGTATGTGCCTGTATCTGTGTCTGTGTGCCTCCATTGTTTTGGTGCTCGGCAGATTGGCATTTTCCTTTCTCGTGTGTGCGCTCATTCTAACCCACGACTCACCCATCCACCCACAACCATGCTTGCACTGTATGCATGTGCATGTGTTCGTGTAGGGGTGTCTGCTGATCAGCGACGAGTTGAACCATGCCTCCCTCGTCCTTGGCGCCCGCCTCACCGGCGCAAAGATCAAGGTCTTCCGCCACAACGGTTGGTTGGGCAGTGCAGCCTGCTGTTCGTGCATTTGCATTTGTGTGTGTGTGTGTGTGTGTGTATGTATGTGTGTGTGTGTGTGTGTGTGTGCGTACATGTGTGCTGTAAATGCACATTCCGCCTCAGCACCCAAAGCATGCTCACGTGCGTTGCCGTTGCCACCACCGTCACCACCACCGCTGCCACCAACACCATGGTCAATACGCCACCGACGCTGATCAGACATGGAGCATCTTGAGAGCATCCTGCGCACGTCCATCATCGAGGGCCAGCCACGCACGCACCGCCCCTGGCGCAAGATTCTGATTGTGGTGGAGGGCGTGTACAGCATGGAGGGCTCGCTGGTGAACCTGCCGGAGGTCATTCGCCTGAAGAAGAAGTACGGCGCGTATGTGTACTTGGACGAGGCGCACAGCATCGGCGCGCTCGGCCCAACCGGTCGCGGGGTTGTGGAGCACTTTGGCTGCGACGTGAATGACATCGATATCATGATGGGCACGTTTACCAAGAGCTTTGGGGGCGCTGGTGGCTACATTGCCGCAGACAAGGTGAGATGGAACGAAGGAGGACAGGAGGAAAGGGAGGTGAAGGGTTGCTGGTGATGGTGTCAATAATTTTGTTCATGTGTTGAGACGAAGGGGAATGATGTGTGCGTGCGCGTGTGTGTACGTGTGTGTGTGTGTGCACATATTCGTGTACACATGCATTCGGTACGACGTTCCTGCTGTCGTTACCGCTCACCTGCATCGTGTGTTGATTTCGCAGGTCATTATTGACCGCATTCGCGCCCATTCCCACAGCCAGCGGTGAGTGAGCACACATGTGTACGTGTGCATGCGGGGGGGGGGTTCTTGGATGTGTGCAGTCCCCTCCGTTTGCATCCTTTGGTAATACTCCCCTTGACACCTCCCCCATGCGTGCGTGTGTGTGT